ACCTTGTTGTCTCGGATTCTCCAGCATCTGCAGTTCCTACTATCTCTTGTACATTACTTCTTTGCTTTGGCTGTAAACTAACATTTTAAAGTTTGGTCCTGGGAAATGGACAATGTTGTGAAACATTTATTTCTGAATCTTAGTTACCCCAAAGCCATTTGGGGTTGACTACAAATACTCAGATGGCCCGAATATAATCTCAATTTGTTGACAGAATTTTAACTTGTATGTCTCACTAGTCTCATATTATATAAAGTACAGCATTCTACTCTCAGTAACTGACATCAAATCTGGATTTTGAGAAAGGAAGAAAAAAATTAAAAGCAGCACATTTTTCTTCATATATGAAAAGTGATCTCTCAAAAGAAATAGTGTCATGAAAATCAGGAAATATTTATTAATCTATTAAATTAAGCATTGAAAAAAAAACTTATAGAATCTTTTCATGGATAAACTCATATGACCTGAACAACTCCTCCATCTAGCATCATCTGTTGATGAAGCTTTGTCCAGAACAGTGCACAGATTCTTGGATGTTGCTGCAACTGCACTCACCCAAGCAAGTGGAGAATGTTCTATCACACTTGTGACTTTTTTAAAAACAATTCATTCATGGATGTGGGCATCACCACATTGTTCAACCTTTAATTGCTGTCCACAATAGCCCTGAAGTCAGAAGTCACACGGCACCAGGTTATATGGAATCTCACCAGCTTTCGGAGCGCAGCCTCTTCGTCAGATGAGGGGCAGGCCTCCGAAAGCTTGCGTGATTCCAAATAAACCTGTTGGACTATAACTTGGTGTCATGTGACTTCGGACTTTGTCCACCTCAGTCCAACACTGGCACCTCCACACAATAGCCCTGAAGAAAGCGGTGATGCTTGCCTCCTTGAACCACTACTGTTTTCAAGTTGTACATAAACCCAATGCCGTGAATGAGGGTGTTCCAGGATTTTATCGCACTCACTGTGAAGGAATGGTGACATAGCTCTGAGTCAGGATAGTGTGCGACTTGGAGGAAAACTTTCAGTAGGTAGTGTTTCTATGCATCACTGCCCTGGTCTTTCTAGGTAGTCGAGGTTAGGGGTTTGAAAGATACAATCGAAGGAGCTTGGTTGAATTTCTGCAGCTTTTTGGACAGACATTGGGAAGACAGATACAATGAGTTGTTCGCCAGAGAATTTACAGCCTCTGGGCCACCCTTGTAACCACTATTTATATAGCTGTCCAGTTCAATTTCTAGTCAATTGTAACCCAGATTTTGGTAGTGGTGATGGTAATGCCATTGAATATTAAAGGGAGGTGGTTAGATTCTGTCCAGTTCGGAGGAAGGGTCACCAGACCCGAAACGTTAACTCTATTTTATCCTTCACAGATGCTGCCAGACCTGCTGAGCTTTTCCAGCAACTTTGTTTTTGTTCCTGATTTACAGCATCCGCAGTTCTTTCAGTTTTTATTTAGATTCTTGCTTGTTGGTGGTCATCAACTTGTGTGTTACCTGCAACTTATCAGCTCAAGCATGAATGTTGCCCTTGTCTTGCTGCAAATGGAAATGAACTGGTTCAGTACCTAAGGAGATACAGATAGTGCCAAATCGCTGTAATCGTCAGTGAACATCCCACTTCTGACCTCATGATGGAAGACAGCCATTGAAGAAAAAAAATGAAGACAGTTTGCCTAGGACCGTGAAGAACTCCTTCAGTACTATCCTGGGCTGAGGTGATTTAATTTAGCTTCTAACAGCCACAGCCATCTTCCCTTATGCTGGGTAATGCATGCGGGATTGCATTCGTTTCTTCAAACTCCATAATGCCATCCCTTTGTTCATAAAATTTATAATGTTCTTTTATTTCAAGTGTGAAAAATAAAATCACAAACATGAAATACTCACTAGATTAAGGCAGAGAAAGTAGAAGATCTGTCTGGAATCATACTCTTCAAGGATTTGTTTCAAAGATTCTTTAATAAACCTGGGCATTGATTGGGAAGTATGTTGTAAGGCATCACCCATAAAGTTATACAGTGGGGTACCTTCAGGTGAGTAACCAACCAGAGTACCCTTTTGCCCTTTCTTAGAAGGTGAGGATAAGATGCTGGCAGCTGGAGAGATAGATAAACACAAGTGAGTTAAACTAAGCTTTTTTATATTCAACGTTTATAAAAGTCTGCATATTAGCCTCTTTCTTTTTTAATCTCTTTAACACTCAATGTTCGTATTCCTTTAATCAACACTGTATACTGATAAAGGTTTAAAACAAGAAAAATTTCAAAGCCCTTCAAGTACAACTTTAGTGATTAGTCACATTGAAAACAGATGGCACATAAAATAAATTTGTGATGGGGCTGTTGTTCGAGGGAGGAATATTGCTCAAGAATTCCACACATGACTATTTGATATACTTGATTTCAGGTGCTAATGCATATTGCACAAAGTACAACAGAAATCATTTCTTGAATTGACATACTGAAGTTTCCATAAGGAACTTTTCCCCTTAAGGTCTTCGTGTAGTTACAAAAGTGGTTGCACTCAAAGGAAAAATGAACAAATCATGTGCGTCAAATATAAAGCTAAAGATTTTGTGCAGATATTTCTCAAAAATATTGAAAATAGTAATTTGTCTATCCCTTTGTAATTTTAATAATAATGCAGAAATCACTTACGAATTGGACGTATTATCTGTTGGTTTAGAAATGGTCAAAGGGCATCTAATAACATTGTTCAGTATTGGATAAACAGTAAATGATTTTCCACTAGTTGCAATTCTTTAGATAATAAGGAAAAAAGCTAGGGTGATGATTGGAGGTCAAAGGGGTAGGTTCGAGGAAATAACTAGGAGTAGACAATTTAGCCCCTCGAGCCTGCTCTGCCATTTATTATGATTATGATAGAACCCATCTTGGCCTTACCCTCGTTTTCCTGTCCACTCCTCATAACCCTTCAAACAGTTACTATTAATTAAAAATATCTTGACATCCACCACACTCTGCAGCAGTGAATTCCACGGATTCATGACCCTTTGCGAGAAAAAATTTCACCTCATCTCTGTTTCAAATCATCTATCCCTTACCTAAAACTACAGCCTCGCATTCTAGACTTCCCCACAAGAGGAAACATCCTCTCCTCATTTCTAAAGAAGGGTCCCGACCTGAAATGTCAACTTTTCTGCTCCTCTGATGCTGCCTAGCCTGCTGTGTTCCTCCAGCTGCACTCTGTGCTGTCTCCTCTCTATCTTAAATGTTTTCACACATGAGCTCAGAACTTGATAACTGTGGCTGTTGAGGCAGCATTCAAAAGAGAATTGACTAAGTTCTGAGAAAGGAATAGCAAAAGAACATAACAAAAAGAAAGGAACTGAAATAAGAATGCATACCTAAAAGCTGCCAATGGCGCAAACACAATAAGCTTTGTTCTTTAGTGACTTATAACAAGAATACTCACCTAGAATGAAGAAAATGGCACTAACCACGACTCCACCTGACAATACATGTTCAGTGCTGTGCTGCAGGGTTTGTTTGTTGATTACACGTAGCTGATCAGTTATTGGATGTGTCCAGAAATTAGCAAGAAGTAAAGCTCCAAAAAACACCAGGATTGAACCATATTGTGCACACTTCGGAGCTTCCATTTTGGCAGAACATATAGATTCTACATAGAAGTCCAACATTAGCACACAGAAGATGATAGTCCCAAATGGCATAATAAGAGAAGACCAGGATTCTATTTTACTCTATAACACAAAAGACAGAAGTTCTAAGAAACTTAAGTTACTATAAGAGGGCAATGTAATAGTTGTAACTCATCATAAATTTCAATGGCATGATGCTCAGAAGACATATAATCACTACTAAAACAATTAGTTTAACTGATTATTGCCCTCATTATCAGAGCTGGGCAACTGTAAGAACAATACTGACATTATTTAAGCTCCTGGACTTTACAGCCAGTGAACAACCAACATAATCATACAATACTAAATTCTCAATACAATTAACAGGGATAAAGATATTACTAGGTGCAACTCTCAATTGGAGATTTCTAATGCGGCATCATTTTCTCGCTTGCAATTACTGTAAAGCAGAGTGAGATACAGGACATATACTGATCATGCAGTTTAACTGGCCAGACTTAAGTACGGGCACAAATCAACTGCTTACTCCTCAAAATACCCATTCCAAAAATTATCTACACTGTCTTTTGGACAGTCTATTCTACTCAATAACACAGTTACATGCTTCATTTAATGTGGAAAAAAATGTTTTAAGGCAGTAGGAACTAAGTCACTTGTTGAAATGATTTTAAGCATGGAAATAGGTAGAAAGGCAGTGAGATTTATGAAAGGAATTCCAGAAAGATCAGCAAAGCCACCTATGTGTGGAAGTGCAGGAGATGGAGGAGATACTAAATGAGTATTTTGCATCAGTGTTTACTGTGGAGCAGGATACGGAAGATAGACAACACGGGGAAATAAACAGCAACATCTTGAAAAATGTCCATTATTACAGAGGTGGTGCTGGACGTCTCAAAACACATTAGGGTGGATAAATCCCTGGGACCTGATCGGGTGTACCCTAGAACTCCGTGGGAAGCTAGGGAAGTGATTGCTGGGCACCTCGCTGAGATATTTGTATCATCGATAGCCACAAGCGAGGTGCCAGAAGACTGGAGGTTGGCTAACTTGGTGCCACTATTTAAGGTGGTAAGGAAAAGCCAGGGAACTACAGACCGGTGAGCCTGACATCAGTGGTAGGCAAGTTGTTGGACGGTATCCTAAGGGACAGGATTTACATGTATTTGGAAAGGTAAGGACGGATTACGGATAGTCAACATGGCTTTATGCATGGGAAATTATGTCTCACTAACTTGATTGAGGTTTTTGAAGAAATAACAAAGAGGATTGATGACAGCAGAGTAGTGGACGTGATCTAAATGGACTTTGACAAGGTGTTCGACAAGTTCTACATGTTCCACATGGTAGGCTGGTTAACAAGGTTAGATCACATGGAATAGAGGGAGAACTAGCTATTTGGATAAAGAACTGGCTCGAAGATAGAAGACAGAGGGTGGCAGTGGAGGGTTGCTTTTCAGACTGGAGGCCTGTGTCCAGCAGTGTGCCACAAGGATCAGTGCTGGGTCCACTGCTTTTTGTCATTTATATCAATGATTTGGATATGAACATAGGAGGTATGGTTAGTAAGCCTGCAGATGACACCAAAATTGGAGGTGTAATGGACAGCGAAGGAGGTTACCTCAGAGTACAATGAAATGTTGATCAGATGGGCCAAGAAGCGGCGGATGGAATTTAATTTAGATAAATGTGAGGTGCTGCATTTTGGAAAGGCAAATCAGGCAGGATTTATACGCTTAACGGTAAGGTCCTGGGGAGTGTTGCCAAACAAAGAGACCTTGGAGTGCAGGTTCATAGTTCCTTGGAAGTGGAGTCCCAGGTGGACAGGATAGTGAAGGTGGCATTTGGTATGCTACCTTTACTGGTCAGTGTATTGACTACAGGAGTTGGGAGGTCATGTTGTGGCTGTACAGGATACTGGTTAGGTCACTTTTGGAATACTGCATGCAATTCTGGTCCCTCACTATAGGAAGCATATTGTGAAACTTGAAAAGGTGCAGAAAAGATTTATAAGGATGTTGCCAGGATTGGAAGTTCTGAGCTACTGGGAGAGGCTGAATAGGCTGGGGCTATTTTCCCTGGAGCATTGGAGGCTGAGGAGTGACCTTATAGAGGTTTATAAAATCATGAGGGGCATGGATAGGATGAATAGACAAGATCTTTTCCCTGGGGTAAGGGAGTCCAAAACTAGAGGGCATAGGTTTAAGGTGAGAGGAGAAAGATTTAAAAGGGACCTAAGCAGAAACTTTTCACACAGAGGGTGGTGCATGCATGGAATGAGCTGCCAGAGGAAGTGGTGGAGGCTGCTACAATTACAACATTTAAAAGGCATCTGGATGGGTATATGAATAGGAAGGGTTTAGGGGGAATATGAGCCAAATGCTGGCAAACGGGACTAGATTTATTTAGGATATCTGATCAGCATGGACAAGGTGGACCAAAGGGTCTGTTTCCATGCTGTACACTATGATTCTAAGACAGAGCCAAGACAGTCAAGGACTCTTCCCCAAACAAATGGGCAGAGGGGTCGTTCAAAGGCAGCTAGAGTCAGACAGCTCATTTGATCATTACCTTTGATTGCCAAGAGAAGCAACATACAAAGTAGAATGAGAATTCTAAATTTGATTTATTGGGGCCTGAGATGAGAGTTTAAATCAATAAGGATGGTCATGAATAAGTAATGGTGGTGGTGGTTTATGGTGTAATAAACAGAGATTTGGATGTTGTACTTTAATGAAGAAATAGGTTGGAAGGCTGAGAAGAACAGTCTACACTTTGCTGAAGGTGCATGTAGCAACTTTGGCAAAAGTGGGAAGGCAGGAATTAATGAAGATAATGTCAAGAAGGATGAAATAAGTGATTGTGGTAATTTTATAGAATGAGTTTAAAGCTTAGTCTGAAGTTGTGCAGGTTACCAACTGGACAGCTTGCCCAGCCTGTTTAAAACCAAGGGAAGGGATGGAGTCAGTGACAATGGAGGAGATGTTTTGATGCAGAAGAAAAATGATGCACCATTCATTTTATTTGTTTTACTTTAAACCAAGATGGACAATTTGTTAATTTTGAGCAAACCCGTTTACCCAGCATTTTGATAATTGCAATCAGAGTGGTAAATATACTATGTCTATTACCTCTGTTGTTACAGTCAATATGACTACCCATGGAAACAATAACACTGCTGAAGTTAGGGTAGATAAGGTGTGCAGGCGTTTGGCTCCACCGACATCCACAGACAGCTTTCTAGAAGCTGTATGAAAACCAACTTTGAAACACAACGACATCACCAGTAATAAAACTCCACCCTAAAAGAGACCAATTAAAATTGTGAGATGGTGAACTTAAAACAACATCACTATTTAAAAAATGCATGCGGCAAATTGAAATTCCACAAACTGAATATGAACTGGTTTTTATGCTTCCACATCAGAAAGATATTTCCTCAGCCCCTTTCTTTAAAAATTGTTTTTTTGCTGTCTGTTTAGGGTAGCATTTTGTGCTTCAGTCTCTGGCTGAGACAGTGAAGTAGTAAGGTGGTCAGTCCTGATATCCACCAATTTGATCTCCACGTTGGGTCCAGTAAACTGCTATGGGTGGACAGCCATTCTGGAGTTCATTTCATGCTTCCCTTGAATGGAATAGCCTAGATAGACAGTTCTTTACACGGGAAATCAAAGGCATGAATATGATTACAAAAATATGATTACATAAATTGATTACAAAACTATTGGGCCCCCAATGTTGCCAGCATAATTAGAAGGCTGCACTTTTCATGCCCCACTTTTAGACATGCATGCAGCTGAGACAAGGATGAGATCTCCAGGGCATCTCAGGTGTAAACACAATAATGTTGGAAGGGGAAGGAATGTAGAATATAGAACAGTACAGGCCCTTCAGCCCACGATGTTGTGCCGAACTTTTACCCTTATCCTAAGGTCTATCTAACTTCTACCCCTATCTTATACTATCATCCATATGCCTATCTAATTGCCGCTTAAATGCCCCTAATGAGGCTGACTCCATTACCCTCTCCGGCAATGCATTCCACGGCCCGACCACACTCTGAGTAAAGAATCTACCTCTGACATCTCCCCTATATCTACCTCCACTCACTTTAAAACTATGTCCCCTCATAATAGCTACCTCCACCCTAGGAAAAAGACTCTGGCTGTCTACTCTATCTATACCTCTGATCATTTTGTACACCTCAATGAAGTCATCTCTCACCCCTCGTCGTTCTGAAGAGAAAAGCCCTAGCTCTCTCAACCTTTCCTCGTAAGACGTTCCCTGCATTGCAGGCAACATCCTGGTAAATCTCCTCTGCACCTTTTCCAACGCTTCCACATCTTTCCTGTAATGAGGCAACCAGAACTGGACACAATACTCCAGATGTGGCCGAACCAGGCTTTTGTATAGCTGCAGCATAACTTCATGGCTCTTGAACTCAATCCTTCTAATAGTGAAAGCTAACACACCATATGCCTTCTTAACAACTCTATCCACCTGGGTGGCAGCTTTCAGGGAACTGGGGACACGAACCCCGAGACCCCTCTGCTCCTCCACACTGCCAAGAATCTTTCCGTGAACCCTGTATTCTGCTTTCAAGTTTGTCCTTCCAAAATGAATCACCTCACACTTTTGTACCATTCATATAACAGAGGGAAATCCCTTTTGTTGGGTTTTAGGACTGGGTAGCCAGTCTTCAATTGCTGCGCCCCCTAAATGGAAGAACCTTCTCCTCCAATGCCTCCTGGATTGTTGTAAGGAAGCCAACTCCATCAAGCTGGCAGCCTTTGCACAAGGCAGGAGGTCATTTAACTGCCGAATTGAAAATCACTTCTAATTTATGCCTGAATTATAGAAATTGATACGCTCTCTCTATCACTCAAGATTGGCAGGAAGAGCATCCAACAGAAATTGCTCGCTCGTTGGGGATCCCCACTGCTCACCCAATTGGTTTTAAGCTTTCATAGTAGGGTCTTTTAAACAGTTTCTAAGGCCTGCGTTGCTGCTCAAAATCAGTTTGGTCAGCAAAACCATCTTGCCGTGCAGGCTAAACAATGACTCACATGGTTGAAGACTGAATGCAGACTACACTTGACAAAGCAACTGCGTGGTGCTGTGCACACGCCAACTAAAATATAATAGAAATGGTAAACAATGCATTATGCATTCTTTAAACACAAAGTTTTAGCAAACAGTCTTGGCAAAAATGTATATTTTTGGAATGCCGAGTGTGACTTCATTTGACAATTGTTAATACAGATTATAATACATAAATGCTAATTGCTTAAAGCTGTTTAGAATATTAGGATGACATCCTATCAATATTGCTAGCAAATGTCACCCTTGCTATTACAAAGGAATTACCTTGTGGTCTGCTACTCCAAGAAGAGAGATGACTGTGTACAGTGCATGTGTTAATGCACTATCATGATGGCCCTCAGCTACAAGGTAGAATTTAGTTAAAGAAACAAGCATTATATATATATTAATTACTGGTTAAATAAATCAGTCAGATTTCATTATTCAACAGCAGGATGTTGCCCAATTAATAAAGAGAAATCCACATGTACATCTTACACAAATACAATGCACCAGCTCTTATCAGAAAGGATACGGTGTTCAGCCATTTTAGCCATCAGATCATCATTGTCAAACAATAATAAACAGACGACAGCGATAATGAAGAAAGCTGCTCCTCTTGTCTACGGATGGGGAAAAATATACATATTTTGATTAATTAAATGTAAAATCCCAAGTTTAACTGGACTACATACAATCTGTTAAACCAAGAGCTTTTGAGTTTTTTTTTTGGCTGGAAGCCTCCACCTAATCTTTTACACATTCCAAGGGATTCCTTGCCCTAAAGACTTGTAAAGTCTTTAAAAAGACTAGAAAAAGAAAATATTAAAATGGAGAAAATAGTCATTTTTATATTTGCTAGTAAACTGATAATACTGACAAATGCGGGAAATTCATCAAGTAGAGCAAACTCAGGCCCTTTCAAAAGCTTGAAGGCCAGGAACCCTGAAATATTGGGGTGGTAGATGTTTGAAACTCTCTTCCACAGATGGCAGTAGATGTTAAATCAGTTGTTAATTTTAAATCTGAGATCAGTAGGCTTTTGTTAAGCAAAACTATTAAGGGATACGGGCCAAAGGCAGGTATACGGAGTCAGGCCATAGATTAGCCATGATCTCATTAAATGGAGCAGGCTCAAGGTACTGAATGGCCTACTCCCGGTCTCTACACTCCTAAGATCGCGCTCACGGAACTCAGGTTAGTTTGTGCTGTCATCGGTTGTGGAATAGGATAGCTCCTGGAAGTACAGAACCTGAAATTTTTCAAGAGGAAGACAGTTTTGAAGGACTTTATAACTCAGGTTGATATCCTATATATTAAGTGAATTACAATGACAATTCACAAAGACCGATTTACTGTGTCTTACAGTTAATGGTGATGGTCCAATGGTGTTATCACTGTACTATTAATCCAGAGATTTAGGTAATGTCCTGGGTTTGAATCCCACCATAGCATATTTCAATAGAAATCTGGAGTTAAGAGTCTGGATTCATGGGCATAATTACTGTTGATTATTGGGGGGAAACCCATCTGGTTCACTAATATGCTTTAGGGAAGGAAACTGGGCCTCCTTACCTGATCTGGCCTACACATGACTCCAGATCTACAGCAATGTGGCTGACACTTAAAACTGCCCGCTGGGCAATTCAGGATGTCAACAAATGCTGGTCTAACCAGCAATGTCATCATCCCATAAATGAATAAAGGAAGTTATATTTTATAATCAACAGCAACTTGCCCATTAATTCACACAGATTTTATTGTGATTTTTGGTATTAACATGGCTAGCGAAAATGTTTTGCTTGATTCTTTGTAAGGTAAAAAAACTCTTTGTTTTTAAACAATGGAATCTTGCAGCATCCTTTTTTTTGCAAATATACAAGATTTCAGATTTTAAAACAAAATTAACTGGTTTCAACAAAATATGCAATAAGAACGTAATGTATCATGCTGCATAAATAATACACAATATTTATAAATACAACTTGTTAAACCTGCAATTGATGATTCTCAGTTTACAATTGGTTTCGTTAAATATCCTCTTCATACCAAAATATCCAAATGGAGTGGGAAAAATGAAACACATATATAAGCATTACAAAAATACAGGATACCAAAGGCAATAATGTTTAGAAAATGCATTACTCAATCTTCGGTCACATTATAGAAGCCCTCTGATTATGTTACATGCAGTTATAATTAAACTTGTTCAAGTTGAATAAAACGAAGACTAATTAAAACACATTAAATTAGTCATTGTATAACAATCAATTTAGAATCTCCTACTATAGCATAATAAACTAGATACTAGTCTATCCATAAATTATCTAATTGTCAAGATGCAACTTCTAAACTTATCCAACACATTAGATGCTCACCTTAGCAATCAATGAAATTTCAAAGACATAACAGTTTGGCAATCTCTCAAAATTCCACTTTACTTATTTATTATTCAACATTTAACCTGGTTGCTTCAAAGACGTGAACGATGCCATTCCTCAAAGCATGTCAATTCATCAAAATCACAAAGAAACTTTATTTGAAACAAATTAATTCAAAGATGTTACATCAATGCATTGTGCAGATTCATTCTTACTAATGGCAGATATTGATTAATGTTGCATTTATGTTTCTCAGGTATAAAGTAGGGTTATGATCACATCGCCATGAGTTAAATTATGTAAATGTTTAAAGGCATTGATAAGCATGCAATTCAGAAACGGGTTTTATTAATGTTCATCATTAGAATTCTTCTAAAATGGTAGCTTAAATTAAGCAATATTTGTTTTGTGGCCGTTTTCAGACCTTTAGGCATTTGTTCCCAGGAGTAAATTTGTCAAATAATTTAAAAAATCTCCACTTTATTGTTTCAAATTTAAAGTAATAAATTCAACAGATTTGTAAAGTAAATATTCAACATACAGCTTCACAAACACATTTGTTTAATTAAACTAAACTCCTGATTCCAAAGATCTATTTATAGTATATACAATACTTCAGGAAAAGTTCTCTTCACATAAACAAACAAACAAACCAAAATAATTATCACAGTCTGTCCAAAAAAAAAAATCAGTTGTAAAAATGTTTTAAGTTACATCGGCTATTTATCTCATGAAACTAATCTAAACAGTTATGGAATTTATCCCCTAAACTTAGAAGGGCAACATTCCCCAAGAACAATATTCTTTATATTTTTACAATAAGAAAAACTGCACAGAATGCATTTGAGATGCACTGTACCTTTGCTGGGCCTCCATCGGAGCTGGTAAACAAAACACCAAGCAGAGAAATGACAACAATGTCACTGTGCTCAAATAGAAGTACTGTTCTGTAAAGACAAAATGTAATGGCACACATTTTTAGTATTTAAAGTCTTCAATTAAAATGATTAGAACTAACCATATCACAATAAATACGCCACAAAATGCAGTAGAACTGGCTCAAATTCATATATTATTCTAAAAACATAAAAATGGACTGAATTGGATGATCATTAAAAAGCACCAAATGAATGCCAGGACACTGCTCCACAGAAAGGAAACACAGGAAATACGAGGAGTAGGTAATTAATCCCACTGAGCCTGCTCTGCCATTCAATATGATCATGGCTGATCCTCCAACTCAATGCCTCAGTCTCGCTCTCTCCCCTTACCACTTGACACCTTAAGCTTCTAGAAATCTATTTTATATGTTGGGAAAAGAAAGTCAACATATAAGACAATATGAAAACAGAATTTGCCTATTTCCTTGCATCTTGCTGAACACAAGGCACTTGTAAAAGCCTGCAAGCAAGTAGGAACAAACATATAGCATAAGATAACCTAGAGCCGACCTGGGCAAATTTCAGTCTGTGGAAGCTTCTGATTCTGTCAATGTTATGCAAAAAAAAATGCATAAAAGTGCAAAACATGCTTAAAAAATGTAAAACAACTGATAAACAAAGGTCTCTTTCACTAATTATTTTTAAAATGCACTAACTACCTCATGATCTTACCATCTGTAATGTCTAAGCGAACTTCCCATTCTTGTGTGTACAGTCCTGCCATTTTGAATATTGTATCTAATGCTGCTGTGCTCAGGATCTCGGGATAAATGTCAGCCAAGACACAAACACTTTTACCACAAAGGGTTCAAGCAAGAATTCAAGTTTCAGATGCACTTTACTGAAAAGCATAGCCTTAATTTCCCCTGCTCCTTCTCATCTGTGTCACAATTCCAAATCAAGAATGTTCCTCGCAGACTTAAAGTTGAGAGGAGGAGCAGAACCCAAGCAGTTAGAATTAGGCCCCTTACTATATTTACCATGCAGAGATCTTCTGCAGAACGAGAGTTTGGCTACCACATTAAAGATATTAGCACACGTGAAGGAGCCTGGAAAATAGCAAACATAAGCGCACACTCACAATTACTTACTGCAGTTTTGATCTGCATTTTCATTTTTCAAGTAGGTACATTGGAATTTCAATGCTTCAGCTTAACGTTCACTTAAATTTTAACCCTTTTTGAAAAGTCAAATCAATGCTTATATATCAGAGATAGTAGGAACTGCAGATGCTGGAGAATCCGAGACAACAAGGTGCAGGGCTGGATGAACACAGCAGGCCAAGCAGCATCATAGGAGCAGAGAGGCTGACGTTTCGGGCCTAGACCCTTCATCAGAAAAGGGG